AGAGGAATGATGAAATAAGAGCTAAAAATAGCAACCTCCCAGGATCCCCCTTTGCCCAGCACTGTAAACACCTCATTCCTGAGACAGTCCTAGGAAAAGCACCACATCTGCAAACCTTTAAAAAACGATTTTAAGTACGCTTTCATACACACTGCAGGCAATTACAAATACATAAGAACTTACAATAAACATTTATGAAAATGCTAACACATCTGTCTACATGAGTGGACAGCATAAAGAACAAAGCTGCTGTTGTATTGTCCATTGGTACATAAGGCTTATTGTTATTTTAGATTCTGATATGAATCTCATAAATGCATGCAGAAAACATGCAGAAAGAAGCACATTTTCAATCTCCATAATATCTTACATTCTATTCTATAAATTTATACAAAGGTCCCATATTAAAACATGATCAATAATCAATGCCACAATGATACATAAAAAATACTTAACAACAATGTGACTTCATATGAATTTATGGCAATGTTCGTAATATTTTGATCATTAAGTGTAACCAAATAAATCGCTATTTGCAGTCTAAATCGAACAGCAACAATCTTTATCCATTATAAATCCAAGTAACTATAATAAAGGTGAGAACCTACCCAAAGATGAATTCATTGTGTCCTCATCTCCCCGCCAGTGTGTCGTGACTCCGGCTGTTTCTCAAAACCTAGCGGGACCTGCCTACCTAGACAGCATTGTTGTTTTTTTAGGCATCATGTGCGCGTGCAGCATCATAGGCATCGTGTGTGTGCAGGAGCCAAGCTGAGCTGAGTCGAAACGCTGTGAAGCACAATGCTGCGAGCGTCTCAAAACTCCCTAAATGGGCACTAAAACACGTCCTCCAACCGCTTCTGGATAACATATTGGACGGAAACAATGAAAAAACATTATTTAAAGGCTTATTGGTTGTTCAACATAGCATTAAATGGAAGTAATCGTGTGATTTCAATGGTTTGGTGTTTAAATTCTCTGAAAAACAGTCGGGTTAGGTTCATTTTATTTAAATTCACAGCAATTTAATAGCCTATAAAAAATTGCGTAGGTGTGACTTATTTACAGGACGCGGGTATAATAACTAAATATATAATAGCCTAAATAAATATAATCAGTGTTGCCAAGTCCGCGGTTTTCCAGAGGAATTGGGCTATTTTAACACTGTTGCCGCGGTTGTTTTTCATGTCCGCGGGATGAAGCGATCCCAAATAACGTGATATTTAGTCCCTGGAATGCGAATTGTACCAGGGGAACCCCGCCCAAAAAAAACGTGTATTTTACCCCCGGGACGCGATTTTTACCAGGGGACCCCCACGAGACGCGATTGGACTAGTTCTGAGTAGCAATAGGGCGGGTTCTGTTGAGAAAACCTGGCAACCCTGACTAGGACGTTCCACTTCACTTTATTGTATATAGATACACTTGCCGTAGTATCTCCCCTAAACACTTTCCCTTTGGAAAGATCCCCACTGGGAACTGTTCTACTTCATTAAGTGGTAGAGGGCGATTTTTGACAACTCTTATATTTTTACGATATCTTTCTATGGCAAAAATAAGACTGTGCTAGAAAGCAGGTGCAACGGCCCTTTCGGCTGTTTTTTCACAAACACTTTTCTTTCAGGTTTATAAAATTAAAGGCATGACGCAACAAGTAAAAGTAGACTACTTAAAATGTCCAACATATTAGGAATATTTTTATATTTATATAATATATTTGAAAATTAGCTTACCTGTCGAGAAGAAACTCCCCAAGTTTGTCTATCTATTGAATCCCAAACATTTCATCAGACTCCTCCATCCTCTAAAACCACTGCCCATGTTTACCCTTGTTTTACCCCATTGCCTGTCTCTGTGTATTTTGGGAAGTCTTCCGATTCTGCATTTCACTTCTGAATTTCTGTTTCCCACGACTAAACACCCTCTGGCTCAGCCAGTCAGTTTGCTACAGTTAGTAGCCAGCCACGCCCCAAACTGCAAATAGCCTATAGTTGACAGGCAGGTAGAACATCGTATCATTGCATTCGGACCGTCAAGTTTTGGAATCTGCCAGGCAAATGAGTTGTAGCCTAACTGAGATAGGTTTTCACAAAATGAAGCAATTTGTGGAGATGCTTTTGACAACTAAATTGTAATTTCTCTCTCAATAAATAAATAAATAAATAGACTCAATCCCTGAGAAAGAAAGAAATTGCTGATAAGTATAATACGTTTAAAAACTATTTCCCATGCTTCTAATAATTCCTAAAAAAGTTAACCCACCACACTCTGATTGGGCATATAAGACCATTTAGAATTCTTCTGAGCTAAGCAATGTTTTATCCAGTTGATTTTAAAATTACTATTAAGAGTACCAATGAAGAATGTTAAGTCCACCCTCTGAAAAAGTTCTAATACGTAACTCTGTAACCTGCAGAAATGATCCGTGACTGTGATCACATTTAACTACGGTATTAACCTGTCAGTGGGGTTAAAAAAACTGTTTTCGGAATAGTGTTTAATCATTACTGTTTTTCTCACAAAGGAACAACGGTGTGTAATTACGGTTAGAACCTAAAACTGTCCTACCATAATTTCCCCTGTGGGTATTCATGTATTTTAACTTAAATATAATGGGAAAACTTTTTTTTTTTTCCAAGATGATAGGTGGTTGTGGGGTTTGGGGTGAAATTTTGTGACCAGTGGTGGCTGGTGGAAAATTTTCTAGGTAGGGCCATGTCACATCCAACAATCCAACAATTTCAGAAAAAATCCCAGTATGATTTAATGCTAAACATAAATAAAAAATAACTGAGGAAAAAATATTAATATTAGAGAGGCTTGAAACATATTTGAAATAAAGATAAATGTTTTACCAAGCTCTGAATTAAGCTTCAGGACGATTCTCACAAAAATGTGTTTTCTGAGATTTATTTATGTTTTTCAAGGTAAATTAAAAATATATATATATTTTTTTTTACAATTTTCATAATACACCATGTATACATTGCAACAGCAAAAACTTTGAGGAAAACATAAATGTTACATTTGTTTTGAGCTTTTTTATATAAATAACTACAAGGTGTGATACCAAACAGAGCAACATGGAGATGCCAAAAGACCACTGCACGAGCCGCCTTGACCTAACCGCATATTCAGAAAGAGAGGCTGCTCACTGCAGAACAATTGGGTGGAGCTTAAAGTCCAGTTCCCCCTCGCTGGACGTAAGGGGTGGAACAAGACCAGGGGTCCTCAACTCTGGCCCTCAAGGTCCACTTTTCTGAGTAGTTTAGCTCCAGCCCTAATCAAACACTCCTGAACAAGTTAATCAAGCTCTTCAGTATTACTAGAAAGTAACTGTCAGGTGAGTTTGATCAAGGTTGGAGGTAAACTCTGCAGGAAAGTGGACCTCGAGGGCCAGAGTTGAGAAGCCTTGTACTAGACCAGTGCTGCGTTCCAGTTAATTTTTGTATGCCCTTCACTGGCAAACTTCCCTCCATCTCATTTACTCGGATGTACGTCATTGATTACATTGCATGAGTGCCCACTACGGCAGAACCCTTGGAATAGGCTGAACTGTAACGTCTTAAGCCCTTGATCACTTAGAATCAACTATGGAGTTGGTTTATTGTTTGCATTTCTCCCCTTACGAATTTGTTTGGTGCAGTATTCTATATGTAAATAGGTATGCCTGGGCTGTTACAAATGTTAAAAAAATAATTTACATTTTATAGTTGTTTGGGGCGGGGATAAATTGAACGCGATCTGTGATGACATCATAATCGTGTTGCATTGTGGTCTGTGGAGTGGCCTGAAGTGTGCATATGAAGCAGACTCGCTCCCTCTGTCAAAATCGAGGGGTCGAGGGTCTGTCCATATAAATTTCCCTTGTGGAGTTGAACAAAGTCAAGCTCCACCCATTATATTCCAGGGGGTTGTGAATGCCATTTGGCTCTGCAGTAAGCACTACTTTTTCGGAATTACTAAACACAGCAAAATACAAGTGAAAAATGTTGAATGTGTGGACACTCAGCACCCTAAATGATGCATCCAACAAATTTGCAAGAGAACAATGCAAATAATAAATCAACTCCATAATGATAGGATTACTAGTGATAAATGGCTTAAGACATTCCAAATGGGTGGAGCTGGACGGCCCAACTACACCCTAACCATAAAGGTGCATTCACACTGGGCGTCAGCGTTAACGCTTCCTATTTTCTTTGAATCGGGGACGTCATGCCTTGACAAACTTAATTGTAGATCCGTTGCATCGCGCCACTGGTGTTGCTCACGCCAGAAGTTGAAAACCTTTAAACTTTTCAAGCACCGGCGCAGGCGTCAGCCAATCAGATCGCCTTATGCAAATACCCTAGTACAGACACTAGCCAATCGCGTTCATGCAACACCAGAAAAGTAATGTGATTGGCTGTTGTCACTATAATGGCCGTGACAGCACCAAACTTCAGACACACCCTCCGTCAAGCATCGACGCTGGCGCCCCGTGTGAATATACTGTAACTGTATGGCTAAGCATAACTCCACCCATTACCTTCAGAGAGGGGGTGCTGGATGTCATTTTACGCTGCAGTGAACACAACTTGCCAGTAGTGGGCACTCTTGCAACAAAATCAATGACATACATTTGAGTCAATAAGACGGAGGGAAGTTATCGAGAAAATGGCATTAAAAAACAAAGTGGACCGCAGCCTAGCAACGGCTAGTTGGGGCGATAAAATAATCACCCTTTTGTAGTTTGAGGATGCTGATTGGCAAATTTTTTATTTCATATCTTGTGTTTCATATAATGTGTTTATATGTTGGATCAGCATTTGGCTAAACTGCTACATAGACCCACATCCTATGGGCGATCTCTCTATCACGCCAAAGCGTGTAGCAGACACGCTGGTCCACTCGAGTATGCGTGTAAGTGTCACGCTTTGCCTCCTCGCCTTCATGAAGACTCACAACAATTAATGTCAATTACAATGTATGGATTTACACACAGTACATCAACACACCTTTCCTTTTATGTAGCCGCACTGTAGTGGGAACTGGACAGCCTCCTTTTTCCACACTTTCATCTGTTAATAGCAGAGAAAAAATTAAAATATGTAATATATATATATATATATATATATTTGATGAATGCAGGGATGTCCATACTCTGAATTTGTTTACAGTATCACATTACACAAAGTAATAGTATGGTTTTGTGCGGTTTACAACTTATTTTCAATAATATTCATATAGCTCCTTTTCTGTTTACCTTTACCAATAAGGGCTGCTGGTGGTCCAGTAGTAGCTGCTGAGGGATGACGTTTGGCCACTGCTACCTGTGGATGTGGCGTGACCATTGGTGGTCCAGTAGTAGCTGCTGAGGGATGACGTTTGGCCACTGCTACCTGTGGATGAGGCGTGACCATTGGTGGTCCAGTAGTAGCTGCTGAGGGATGACGTTTGGCCACTGCTACCTGTGGATGAGGCGTGACCATTGGTGGTCCAGTAGTAGCTGCTGAGGGATGACGTTTGGCCACTGCTACCTGTGGATCTGGTGGACAAGTGGGGGGTTCAACCTGGGCTGATGAGGGTTCACTGAATTGTTCGGCAGCACCTTGTGCAGTCCAGCCTACATTGTAGAAGTACATAATTATTTAGAAAACACTGATCAGCCCATTTTCAAAATTTTATGACATTTTATAGACAAAAAATCTAATTGATTAATCAAGAAAACAATCAACAAAAAATATAGCAAGTTGCAGTTGTAATAGCAATAAGAGATGTGTATAGACCTAACAAGCACTGATTGTTTTACCAAACTACTTCTACCAAGCAGTACTGATTTATCAGGGGGATGGTCCTAAGACATGTGATGGATGTTTAAGACAGTCTGCTTGTCGGGTGGTTGGCCAGTTATGCCACGTTTTCTACTGGATTTGTACAATGAAAATTATGGCATGGGTAATTACCTTGTCTCTCAATTCAATGTCATAGTTTATGTTATAAACAAACAAATTATAAAATACAGGCTAGCGAAAAAAAGTAAAGCCGTGATCACACTATTTTGAACATGCAATGGCCACAATATCTCGCTCTGCAGCATCTTTTAAAAAAAACTTAAATTTAACACATAAATAACAATACATCTAAAATGTAAAAACATCAAATCTACTCCACTTTCCTGCAGCACTGCAGTTTTAAATGTATGTACTTTTAATTCAGCTACGAGGTTATACTGTGATCATGTATTGATCTGCTGTTGATCCACGTTTTCATGTGATAGGAGTTTCGCAGGTCAGAGTTCACCAAGCTTGAACATGCAGGAGCTTGCATTTCCAGTCTGACGTATTCACATACATATGAATGGAAGTCAATCAAACGAAAAGTGCAGTGTGACTGTCCCTTTAACCTGCTAGGACCAGTGTTATCACCTAAAAAATAAGTGTACAGCCCTGATCTGCATCATCTATAACGTGCATGGAGCACTAGGTTTGGGGCCAAGTGCTGTTTTAGGGTGTTGCCTTCACTTCATTTCAAATGTGTGGAAGTAGCTGCTGAGGGATGACGTTTGGCCACTGCTACCTGTGGATCTGGTGGACAAGTGGGGGGTTCAACCTGGGCTGATGAGGGTTCACTGAATTGTTCGGCAGCACCTTGTGCAGTCCAGCCTACATTGTAGAAGTACATAATTATTTAGAAAACACTGATCAGCCCATTTTCAAAATTTTATGACATTTTATAGACAAAAAATCTAATTGATTAATCAAGAAAACAATCAACAAAAAATATAGCAAGTTGCAGTTGTAATAGCAATAAGAGATGTGTATAGACCTAACAAGCACTGATTGTTTTACCAAACTACTTCTACCAAGCAGTACTGATTTATCAGGGGAATGGTCCTAAGACATGTGATGGATGTTTAAGACAGTCTGCAATCGGGTGGTTGGCCAGTTATTCCACGTTTTCTACTGGATTTGTACAATGAAAATTATGGCATGGGTAATTACCTTGTCTCTCAATTCAATGTCATAGTTTATGTTATAAACAAACAAATTATAAAATACAGGCTAGCGAAAAAAAGTAAAGCCGTGATCACACTATTTTGAACATGCAATGGCCACAATATCTCGCTCTGCAGCATCTTTTTAAAAAAACTTAAATTTAACACATAAATAACAATACATCTAAAATGTAAAAACATCAAATCTACTCCACTTTCCTGCAGCACTGCAGTTTTAAATGTATGTACTTTTAATTCAGCTACGAGGTTATACTGTGATCATGTATTGATCTGCTGTTGATCCACGTTTTCATGTGATAGGAGTTTCGCAGGTCAGAGTTCACCAAGCTTGAACATGCAGGAGCTTGCATTTCCAGTCTGACGTATTCACATACATATGAATGGAAGTCAATCAAACGAAAAGTGCAGTGTGACTGTCCCTTTAACCTGCTAGGACCAGTGTTATCACCTAAAAAATAAGTGTACAGCCCTGATCTGCATCATCTATAACGTGCATGGAGCACTAGGTTTGGGGCCAAGTGCTGTTTTAGGGTGTTGCCTTCACTTCATTTCAAATGTGTGGATGAAATAAGGCAGCATATCTGCATGCATTTGTAAAAAAAGTTCAAGCTTGGTTCAGTATAAAGCCAAGGGTGTGGCCCTGCATCTGGACTGGATTGTCTGGTGTGTGCATTCTATTCTATTTAACATTAAAATAAAATAAAAAACAAGCAAATGCAATTATTTCAATGTTATTTTATTGATACTTAAGAGTAAGTAGCTAAATAGCTAGCTAGGCAGCTTTTAACCTCTTCCAATTAGTTTCAGTTGTAAGCCAAAAGCATCAATGATAATCTGAATTCTCCATTAGTTGAGAGTAGGCAACCACAGCCTTACCTGTGACTGGGACACAAGGCATCAAATACATGACTTTTTAAAACAAAAAATATATATACAACATAATATTCTTACCTTGAATAACAATGTCATACAGGTCCTTTATTCTTTCTAGGCATTTAGTGGACCAGCGTGTCTGCTACACGCTTTGGCGTGATACCGGGTTGACTTGAGACGTGTACAGGCAGAGGCAACATATAGGAAAAGCATATATTTTGCACCGGTAATAAAATCATATCAAATAAAATATCAATTTATATAATTTATCATTAGAATGTAGCGCCCTCTATTGGCCAGTCGCCACAGCTTATGACAGACATACTGTTGCCAGGGTGGAGGTGACAAGAATATTGGTTGCCATGGAAATATTTTCTCATGTTGACGTAATCACGGCGTCATTCTGGTGAATCCTTTACTCCAAGGTTGTTGTTTACAAGGCTTCCTTAAGTTACAAATGAGAAGTAGGGTTTGTAAAACAAATGTCAGTCAAACCTTTAAAAGAGATGTGTAAAGTGGCCTGTTTAAGATTACACTGACGTTACCCTCCTGTCTTCCTCAGTGCTGCAGGATACCATACTGAAAAACATTGTGTGGACCTCTAAGTAAATATGCTAAGATTATATTCCAATAATTACAACATTCATAATGATACAATTAAAGGAAAAACTAATGTACCATTGGCTATGAGTTGTTCTAAATCCTATGCTGCCCTCCTATGGTGAAAACAAAAGGCACAAGTGAATCCAAAAACCTACACTTTAATTTCATGGAAATCTCAAAACATATTTATTTATATAATGAAAATTTCCAATGATGTTGAAAGTTCCAGTTCTTTCTCAGCTTCCTCATCCCTGTTGGTCATTAATAGCTGGAGATCATGACAATAAAGTGTGGTAGGAGGGGTGTCATTATTTCGGGATTCAGAGGCCGCCTGTATTTGTAACAGATTTATGGCAGCACTAGGTGGGTCATCTAATGTACCTCAGGCCGAGGCCCATAATTAAGGACCCAGCATGCCGTTCTGGGCCAGGTGTACCTCCAGACTGTCTGTCATCACCAGAAAGGAGTGAAGATTGCCTTAGCTTGCTCGTCCAGCCTGTCCATGTGATAATGAATCCTAATTTTCACCTGAATCTTAATAAGCCTTGATGGACGGAATTATTGAGGGTAAATATATAATCTTTTAGTGTAGATAATATGTTGGGGTTTTTTAGTTTATACACACAGTGGTTATGCAAGACAGGTGTGGAAATAGAGTGCAAATCTATTGCCTTTAAATCTTAAGCATCTCAAAAGAATCCAGCTAAGAAAGAGATTTTGTTTAATAATTCATGCATTAATAAGAGAGAGAGAGAGAGGTATTAAGATACGGGCAATTAGTCTATAGCACTTTGTAATGAGCTGTGCCTGTTCTAGAAGCCAGACCACAAAAACAACGTGACCTCATATGTATTTTTTGTAAAGTGTGGTTCTACCACACGTACATTATGTATCGATAGATATTGAGACACGCATTATTGAAAGCATCTAAAGCATAAATGATCTGTGCATGAACAACAGACGTACCAATAAATCAGTATGAATATTGAAATCGTGGCATTAACATTAATTTTGATAATGTTGTATTTAGTTTCCATATAAATGGCACTTTCAATCACATTTAGCAAACAAAGTTTACTTAAATGATAATTTTCATCTTTCTGTTATCATTGTACAGCACTGTTAAAATTTACAGTGCCCAAGACAACTCTGTCAACATTATTACTGTATAAACTAAAAGGCTTTTGTATAGAAGAATATGGTGTTTTTTCCCCCCTGGCCCCTCTTTCCCCTCTAACTCTGTTGCCATTTCCTTACAAGGCAATTGTCTTGTCTGGAAAGTTTATTTTTACATTCTTTTCATAGGATTAAAGTAATTCCTTTCAGCTGTGGACCTGTATCAGTGACTCAGAAGTTTAAAAATAGTCTTGGAGGAATGTGACTCTGAAAGCAATAAGAAAATGTGAAATTTCATTCACATGGTAAAACGAATAATTGCAGACCAGACAAATCAAACTAACTTTAGTTTTTATTTAAATTAGGCCAGTGACACAACATGTGCCATTTTTACTACTGTATACAACACATCATTACATGTTGTAACTGGGCTTAAATTGCATTAGGCTATATGTTAACTGCTTTAGGAGCCTCCATCCTATAATTACTCCCTGGCGTATTTAAAGATGTCTCCATCTTTTAACAGTGCTGTAACATTACAGCAGGGGTGTCTCCACAATGACCTTGCAGTTCTCAATCGCAACTGCCAGGCAATTAACACCTGCACATACTTTGCCAGCTTGTTAACTCATAGCTGTACCACATGGTAGCAACTGATAAATCTGGCAGAAGATGTATTCTGCTTAAAAGAAAACTAAAATAACTCAAGCTGACAATTTAAAAACATAAAATAAACCCTTAGAAACCCAAGCTTATGCTGATTATGTATTATTATTCCTCCCTTGCCTGTAGCATGTCACTTGTTATAAAAATCATGATTTCTGTACAAATCTGATTACAGTAATATATTAACTTTTTGTGATTAGTTCGAGAACCATATGTTAAAAAGTAATTCAAATGACTACCACAAGAGAGCGCTGTCAGGCTAGCAGAAAAAGTACTAGCTCAACTACTAGTAAGTGAACTTTGTGAACTATCCTTCCATTCTGTGCTGGATGCCTATGGAGGAATCTGGACCAACAGACACGTGCTGCCCTGTGGGCCCACTGGTGAAAAAGTGCTTGCTGGTGGCCTTTGTGCAGAAAAAACCCTTTTGTTATAGCATGCTCTTGTGCCTCTCTGGCCTGCATCAGCATTGTGGACTTTGGGTATATGCTGGACTCTGGCAAAGCTCCTGAGTCATCAACATGGCCTGAACTATTGTATGGGGGAGATTTAGCAGGGGCTATTGACCAGCAACTGCTCACACAACTGACAGCTCATGCTCTCTGCCTGTGCAAACACACAAGCACTCATTCTTTTTTAACATATAAATGGTTAAAAACATGTGTAGTATGTATATTCAAGTGAACAGGTACTGGTAGCAAAAACAAAATTCCTGACCTCAGTGTCAGTATAGCAAAAAGCCTGAAGAGGCAGTTTATTTTTTAAAGCATTTACTTCAGCCCAATTCTTCATCTGTCATGCAGATTATAAATAAACTTTAAATAAACTCATGAGTGTTACATGCAACTGTATGTATCAAATATATTTCAATCAATTGTGTATTTATTTATTGTAAAATGTACAGTTTGTCATGACAATACTCAAAAACATGTAAATTCAGTTTTCTTGTTTTCTACGAAATGTAACAGAAGTCAAAGTTTGTAAAAGACCATTCAGAAGCAAATAACCAACAGAGGGGAGTATTGAGTTATAGCAACAGAAGATGTTGGTAGCTATGAGATGACAATTAATAAATAATGGTTTTAATCGTGTTGCCACCATGTTGTGTGACTTTGGCATGCTGGGAGATTGAAAATACTTTACTGCTGCTGTTTTATGTTGTTTTAACCCAAAGTTAGTAATATAAAATATAAAGCAACATTGTTTAATTTCTTTTTAAATATGATAATTGGCTACAGTGGATGTCAATAAAATCAATTTAAAAAATCTGGTTACAGTACATACTAGATTTTGAATAACTCTGCAATTATCCAAAATAATTATCTAGGAATGTGTCAAGGAAAGTCATCTGAGCACCATATGTTAAAAAGTTATAAAAATGACTACCACAAGAGGGCGCTGTCAGGCTAGCAGAAAATGTACTAGCTCAAATACTAGTATGTGAACTTTGTGAACTATCCTTCCATTCAGTGCTGGATGGCTATGGAGGAATCTGGACCAACAGATACGTGCTGCCCTGTGGGCCCACCAGTGGAAAAAAGTGCTTGCTGGTGGCCTTTGTGCAGAAAAAAATCCTCTTTTGTTTCAAGCATACTCTTGTCCCTCTCTGGTCTGCATCAGCATTGTGAACTTTGGGCATATGCTGAACTCTGGAAAAGCTCCTGAGTCATCAACATGGCCTGAACTATTGTATGGGGGAGATTTAGCAGGGGCTATTGACCAGCAACTGCTCACACAACTGACAGCTCATGCTCTCTGCCTGTGCAAACACACAAGCACTCATTCTTTTTTAACATATAAATGGTTAAAAACATGTGTAGTATGTATATTCATGTGAACAGGTACTGGTAGCAAAAACAAAATTCCTGACCTCAGTGTCAGTATAGCAAAAAGCCTGAAGAGGCAGTTTATTTTTTAAAGCATTTACTTCAGCCCAATTCTTCATCTGTCATGCAGATTATAAATAAACTTTAAATAAACTCATGAGTGTTACATGCAACTGTATGTATCAAATATATTTCAATCAATTGTGTATTTATTTATTGTAAAATGTACAGTTTGTCATGACAATACTCAAAAACATGTAAATTCAGTTTTCTTGTTTTCTACGAAATGTAACAGAAGTCAAAAATTTTTCTATTTTAAAATCTAAGTTTGTAAAAGACCATTCAGAAGCAAATAACCAACAGAGGGGAGTATTGAGTTATAGCAACAGAAGATGTTGATAGCTATGAGATGACAATTAATAAATAAATTCATACATTTAAAAAATGATTATTTGACACACTTAATATAATTAATATAATTGAATTTAATTTAAAGGGATTGTTCACACAAAAATGAAAACTTGAGCAACTTGAGAGTGAGTAGTTGAAATTTTTTTTGTGTATTATTATTATTATTATTGTTAATTTATTTTTTTTGGTGTATTATCTATTATCACTTTAATACTTTTATTTAGCAAGGACATTAAATTGATCAAAAGAGACAGTAAAGACAGTTATAATCTTACAAAACAACTACATTTCAAATAAATGCTGTTCTTTTGAACTTTTAATTCATCAAAAAAAATCCTAAACAAAATGCATCAGCATAAAACTAAATCAGTATATTTATACAGTATGATTTCTGAAGGATCATGTGACACTGAAGACTGGAGTAATTGCTGCTGAAAATTCAGCTTTGTCATCAAAGAAATATATCACTTTTTTAAAATATATTAAAATAGAAAACAATTGTATAC